CCTAACAGAACGGGAGAAACGCATTAATGCCTTTCAGAGTAACAAGGACTATTCTGTCTTCCTGCTCACTACACAAGTTGGTGGTGTTGGTATAACCTTAACAGCAGCCAGTCGAGTAGTGATCTTTGATCCCAGCTGGAATCCAGCTACAGATGCTCAGGCTGTAGACAGAGCTTACAGGATTGGGCAAAAAGAGAATGTAGTCATTTATAGACTGATTACCTGCGGTACAGTGGAAGAGAAAATATACAGGCGACAAGTATTTAAGGATTCGTTAATAAGGCAGACTACTGGTGACAAAAAGAACCCATTTAGATATTTCTCCAAACAGGAACTAAGGGAGCTCTTCACGTTAGAAGATACTCGAACATCTGCAACTCAGATTCAGCTGCAGTCTTTGCATGCCACCCAAAGAAACACTGATCTGCAGCTGGATGAACATATTGCTTATTTGCACTCCCTGGAAATGTTTGGAATTTCTGATCATGACCTGATATATACGAGGGAAATAGCTCATGAGGAGCAGGTTGAGAGTGAAGAAGCCCATCAGTACATTCAACGGAGGGTACAGAAAGCCCATGAGCTAGTTCAGTTAGAGTCTCAGCTTAGAGACCAGAGGATAGAGAGCATCAGAAATGTTTGTGAAGAGATGGGGCAAAGACCACCAGAATTGCCTTCCAAGCCAAAGAAGTTTTCTCCAAAGTTGAGCAACATAAACCGCTTTGTTTCACCACCAGTAGCTGATGAACATGAAAATGATGGAGTTATTGATCTTACAGAGGACAAGGACATCCAGATTCTTAAAGTCAGCTCCACAATGACAAGTTTGACTATTAACGACTTGGATGAAGAGAAACTGGCACAAGATGTGTCCAGTATGGATACAGAGCTGCTTAATACCAGCCAGATAGTGAAACAATCCAAAGTGCAAGAATCTGAGCAAAACCTTGAATCAAGCATTATACCATCATCACCTGGACTTCATCAACTTGATAAAGAGAGTCAGAGTCTCAAACAGGAACAGAGTTCCCATGTAAATTCAGACAGCTTGACTGAGGCAGGGAATGGCCTGTCTGGGCACGATCAGCATTCCTCTAATGAGTCTGGTATGGCTGACGATCCCAAAAGGCTGAGAGATGCAGAAATGTCAGATCAGGTACTTGACCCACCTGCTGCCTTGGGGACAGATAAGAATGACATTTCTGATCTAGCTTTGGCTGCGGCAATGCCAAGTTTATCAAATGTTACGCCAGAAATCTGTGCTGGGCTCCAGAAGTCTCGTGTGTTGGAAGCCAGCTTGGAGGGTATGTCTGTGCCATCTCTCCAGGATGAAGTTGACTTCAATCTGGTCCTGGAAGAGTCTGAAGATGGATGGCAAGATGCCTCAAATAAGGAAAGATCACTGGAACACCCAGAAAAGGAGGGCTTCCAACTAAAAGCAGAAAGCTTTTGTAAATCTCCAACAAAAAAATCTCCAACAAAAACTTGGCTAAGTGAGAACAGTAACTGTGGAAAACCCTGTCACACAGCTGAAGAAGAGCCAAATAACTCCCTGCAGGGGAGTGAAGCATCAGAGGAAAGCATTGGTGCCTTTGCTTTTGGTAGAAAGAAATGCTTAAGAAGAATTGTTTCAGACAGTGAGGATGAAGAACATTCTATTATGATCTTGGAGGAAAACCAACCTGAAAAAAGGCCCTCTCCCTTGAACAGCCCTGTACATCAATTTCTGGAAGGAATTAGTGCATCCACTCCTAAATGTGACAGAAATATGGCAAAAGCCATCTTTTCTCCCCCACTAACTAACAGTGGTAACAGGTCTACTGCTTCCAGGCAATCTATAATCAACAAGGTGGTAGATGAGTTTGAGGAATTAGGAGAAATGGGAACCACTGATGATGAAGACAATGATGACAGTGATGAAGAGCACAACAATCTTGTGGAAGAAGCAGCTGAAGAGTGTAGTGGGGAATCTGCTGAGCCTGAAGAAGAACCTGCTGGAGAAACACTTGATACAGGTGAAGAATCTTTCCATCTAGACAGTACGTCCTTTGAGCAGTCTGAAGCAGATGAGACAGAGTCATCTCAGGAGGAATCCACTGGTGATGCTGAGCTGCAGCCGGGTGAGCATATAGACTACTTCACCCAGAAAAGCGTTTCTGAAAAAGAGGTTGGTCAGAGTTCCTCTCCTGCCGGTGATTACAATACCTTGGTAGTCAGTGGGAAGAAACTTAAAGATGACGGAAAATTACAGGAGGCGTTGAACTGTTTCCTGCAAGCGCTTGACATAAAAAGTGGAGATCCTGAAGTTATGCTTATGACTTTAAACTTGTATAGACAGCTAGCCCAGAAATGAAGTATGTATACTTTCACTGAGCTTAGTCTTACTTTTTCTCATTAAATGTTTTTCAGAACTACATTACTTTTTTTTTAACTAGCTTAAGACTGATGGCTGCAATACACTTCTGTCGTGATGACTGAACAAACTGAGCAACTCCTGTGTGAGGAAACAGTCTTAAGAGTCACCTGGTGGGTGCTGGGGAAGGGACTTCACTGTGGACTCAGTTCACAAAGATTAAAATGGTTCATGCTCCTGTCTGATTATTTAATTTTAAAAGTCTTCTTTATGTCTAACCCCCCCTCCAAACTTGCAGCCCTGGCTTCATCTTTCTGCCCTTCAGATCCTGCCGCTGCCTCTCTCCTGAGAGGATGCTGAGGGTGTGGTTCCATGGCAGCTTCCCGCAGTCCAAACTCAAGCTGCTGTAGTTCTTACCTCCTTGACTTGAAATACACTGATTTGTCTGCCTGAACATCACCCACCATTTGGGTGAGCTGGATGTGGGTGCAAAGGAGAGAACAGAGATACTGCAACCTGGTTTTAAGTTGGTCTGAGAATGTATTTGCTGTGGAGGAGAAAAAAAAGTTGGTTGCTGCTATAAATCCTCCAAGCAATGGAGGCCAGCACACCATCTGCCTGGTGCCAGGTCTGACACCAAATGTGGCGCTGCAGAAACCCTTCTGCTCAAATCTCTGACAGACTGCAGTTGCTGTAGAAGGGGTATGTAGGTGCAGAAGGATGGGAAGAGCAATTAGACCTTGACTGCTGCAAAGTGCTGAACTCAAACCTCTCAGTATTGCTGGAGGAGTCAAGGGCTTCAAAGGAGACTCTAGTCTGATGTCTGGCCCCTTCACCCAGCCCCCCCCCCCTCCTCATATCTTTATTTCCCTCTGAGTAGCACAGTGAAAGACTGCTGTCACACAAAGGCAGCAGGAGGGGGAAATACTGGTTTCAAAGTTTTGAGCTGCTTTTCCTCTAACCTTCTTCCCACATACAGTTTAGCTGTGGTAGATGAAATATTTCTCTCTGGTACTGTAGGCACAATGAAGCTATGAAGTGGGTTTGTAGTTCAGAATCATGCAAGCTAAAAATCAGAAGAACCTTGTTTTGGCTTTTAGCAATGCTCTGCTCACCTGAACTGCCCCTCTGCCACCACACTGAGATAAACTTGGCCAGGGTATGCTCATCACTATGCCTTCTGTAGGATCTTTCCTTGTGACAATACAGCAGAGAATTTTGATGTTTCCTCATGTCATGTTCATGTTTAGTGTCTAGCAAGTTTTCCTTCTGTATTACAGTGTGATAGCAGGGGACACTTGCACCTTGCTGAGTTTTGCATTTTTTGGAGAGGAAACTGGTCTGCTGAATTTGAATCCTTTGTAGTAGGAGACACGACAAACAAACAATGATACTGTTGGTACAGGAGATGCACCAATGAGCTTTTGCTAATAGGTAGAACAAAGCTCTGGTAGCCTGGAAACAAGTAGTTTATTAATAGAGCATTCCTTAAATGAGGCCACATCTCATATTGTAGAAAGGCCTGTCTGCCTTTCATAACAAAGTATTAATGAACTAGAGCTTTGCAATCATTTGTTGGTGCCTCTGAGCTTTCCATTTTCATAACAAAACACCCCAAAAAAGGAGGGAGGAGAAAGACCTGCCCTGGTTTTGGTCTCACTTCTTCCTTGTATATGATCTTGGGAAGGGCCTTTTTTTCTCTTTGATGTCTTCTTCCCATTTCTGAGCACTCTGACATGGCATGTAGCTTGCAAGCAAAGCTGGTGTGTTTGCTAGAGACGTGCCCAGTTTGAGTGCTGCCTTTCTTCACAAAGGGGATCACTGCACTGGGATATTTATTGCTAGGATCCAAGAGGTAATGTGCTGTCTCATTTGCATCAATCATTCCATCGTTCAGGTAGTTTTACCAAAAGGATGAGGTGCAGCCTGCTAGGCTTGAGACGTGTACGGCACACCTAGCAGTAGGGGAATGCAGGAAGCCACAAGCAAGCATTTAGTGGCTCTCCTCTCATTCAAGCCTGAGTTACACAATTTCTTTCCCCAGCTTCGAGTGGATAGAATATAGCTTTAGGCATGGGTAAATTTGTATTGGGGAGGACCCCTTCCCCAAAATCCCCTTCCTCACCTCTGACCAGCCAGGGTGCCTCCAGCCCTGCCCTGACCCCCCCCCCCCCCGCCTGGGGCAGTGACCACTGGCTCTAGTTGCAGGGGGTACCTGCTCTCTACCACAAGGACTGTCCTCCAAGTCTGAGCTCTGGAGCAGAAACTGTAGCATAGGAGCTGTCTTGTCTCCACTGGTGAGGCCTGGGGAACCCCTCTCTCACTTTCAGCATCATTTACATTTGCAGACAAAAGTCTAACCACCTTATTCAGGTGGACAGATCATTATCTCTGCACCTGGGGAAAAGCAAGAGGCTGGCCTGCCAGGCAAAGCAGATTTCAACAACTGTAAAAAGCTCATTTCACCTTTTCCAGGGAATGCTTTACCTCTCTAGGCATGGCCCTGTTCTCTTGTCAGCTGCAATCTGTGTGTCCTGCCACAACAGCCAGGACAGCTGGCTGCCTCCACGCACACTGCTAGTTACAACTGACTGGCTCCAAGGTCAAGGTGTGTGGGAAGTTCTTGGGATTCAAGCAGTCAACGAGGTCATGGTCATTCACATTTTATTTTCTGCCTTCCACCATGATAATGTGGTACCCGAACTTTGTTTTGACAGGTGGGTCTGTATACACTGGCTTGTCCATGCTGCTCACGGGCAAGGCGAATGCTGCTTCCTGGAAAGGTCCCACCATGGAGCCTCTGGTCATCCAGCCCAAGTCTCCCTGGAAGAAGGAACCATCAGGCTTAAGCTTTGAGAATCTCACTGCAACAGTGGCTTTAACAGCAGGGAGGGTGTGGATGTGGCAATGGGACAAGAAACCTGTCCTGGCAGCATCTGTCTTGGCAGTATGCACCACTGTGAGGGGAGGAGACCACAGGGAAGAGCTCCTCACACAGGGCTGCCTCAGCAAGCACTGGCTGGCTAAAGCCACGGAAGGTTTGGGCTCTCCTCTCCCCAAGTGCTGGCCTGCTGCTGTGGGACTCATATGCCTCAGCTCTGCAGCAAAGAAGTATTTACAGCTAAGCTACAGGCACCTGCTTGTGCCTTTGCCTAGCAGTTAAGGCTGCCCACAACCAGTGTTCATGCACCGACTGGGAACACTGGGGGTGCTGGGCTTGAAGCTATTGCAACAAGCTATTTGAAGGCACCTGGGAAGGACTTCCTAGTAGCAACCTCCTTCAGACACACCGTGATGGCCAGCACGGGACCAGGTTCTCTCGAATGCAGCTGTCCCCGCTGTTCCCTCCCATGAGCACGCCCGTCGAGGCTGCAGGCCCAGCACGTACCCCTTGCCTGGCTTTGTCCTCGCTGTACTGCGAGGCGACTTCGCTGAAGCGCAGGCCGGACTTCAGCTTCTCCATGGCCTCCATGGCTTTGCCGTGCTTTTCGCACAGTATGTGCCGAACCTGGGAGCGAAGCGGCGCCGTGGCGGGCAGGGCAAGCGGGCCGGGCCGGCCGCTGGCTGCCCGTGTGCCGAGGGAGGAGCGGGGAGACCCCCGAGGGACCCTGCCCA